CTTAAACGTACTCTTAAAATCAAGTCCTGATTTTCGTCGAATTTGCAATGAAAAACCTATTTAGTTGATTCAAAGCTTGGTTTGGATATGGGCAAATAAAATGTTTCGGTTGTGAGAACCGAAATTTCTCTGAAACGAAAATGAAAAATATTTGATTTCAGAGAATCAAATCTGTGTCTTTCAGTATGTTTTATTCTAATTACTATTCGCCTTGTATGGAAATGTACAAGGACATTGTTGATGGTAACATCGCGATCCCATATCTCTCTCGTTATCATAATTCGCTTCTATCATTTCAATTCGTAATTGACATACTCGATCACACAGATCGCCGAAGAAATCAGCCGGGAGAAAAAAATTAGCTCCCACAGCTAAAACTCGCTCCCAAGATAAAAATCAGCTGTTCATACAATACAATTGAAATTCAATTAATTTAGCTAATTTCTTCATCCCTGTATCTAGTTTTTAGCTTCCACGACTAAAAACTAGGTCTGGTAATTAAATTCTAGTTGTATTACACGAACAGTTAATTCCTCTTTTCCGTGAAGCTTGCGAACGCCCGCAGCTTCCGTAAGAGCGCACGTGTGGTCGCCGTTCGTGCGAGCTGTACCGTGATAGTCGTCGGGCGCAATAATATCTGCGTCGACGACTAGTTCTCGTAGCGGTCATCAACACAAACATAAACACCGCACCTAATGTGGGTCAAGCTCGTTGCGGGCCACACGACTCCGAGAGCGCGCTCTCGATCACGGGAGTACCACTCGTGGATGCACCTACACGACGTCGCCCTACGGAGCAGAGACGGGAGGTAAGAGGTGAGATTTTAAGCGGCGCGTGCCCTCCTCCTCTTACCCGCCTCCTCCTCTCTCTTCCAGCGCCTCTTCCTTTCTCCTCTGGAGATAGGAGGAACGGTACTTTCCAGGTACGATTCGAGTAAAAGGGATTCCGACCGACCGAGCGACGCCCACGCGCTGTGCGCCGGCACACCGCTTCGCTTTCTACTTTTCCAGACAGCACCGTCTAGATGATCTACGAGCGATGGTTCTCCGCTAGGAAGAGCGCGGAATACGTGTGGCGTGCCTCGTGAAAAAAAAAAGCTGACTCGCAGCGACGATACGCGCTCGTACGTGCTGATAAATTATGTTACCGCCATCGCCACGTCGTCCTCGTCGTCCACCGATGCTCGCGAGCTGCTCTTTCATTGCGGGACGCGTTCACGTCCGAGCGAGACTCCGTCGCTCCGAACGTGAACGCTCCGGATGTTACGAGCGAAGCAAATAGTAAGTATGGCGATTAAAATAATAATTGCCCACGTGTCATCATCACCTCTACGCCGAACGTGGTAATTATCTAATCGTGATTCTGACGTGCAACACAGATATGGTGTTACTTAACGATAGGATGAAACTGCGTTTACGTGTGTGCCCCGTCAATATATTTCAACGATAAAATCGATAGTTATTATAAACTCGTTAAAAATGAGTACATTGTTTTTATAAAGATTCGTAGTAATTGTTTTCATGATTACATGATTTTCATGATTACTGTTTTAATGATTACATAATGCTTGCTTTTCTCGGCTTCTCGTTAAACGTTGAATCGCGGCGCGTTCATCCCGACTCTGTTTCGCACGAGAACAAAGAATCACGATCGAACACGTCTGCACGTTCGCTGTGTCGCTAGGTGATTGTAACCCGTGTAACGGCACTTCCTGGTGGAAGTGTTGCGACGAGACTCACTTTTCCCTTTGACGAATTCCGAATTGAGATCCGCTGACACATCGTAGCTACCGGCGACGATCAGTAGGAGGAATGTCACGCCGAGGAGGTTGCAGGTCGACAGCGCTTGCAGCCCGTGTCGGTAGTTGAACATGATGAGCTTTCATGCCCTTTACGAACCCGTAGGCCTTGCCAAGGTGACCTGAGCGAGGATTCCCTCTTCTGCTTCGTGGACCCGTCGACTGTCACGAACGAGGAGAGGACCGGAGGAGCTTCGTAAGGCTGTTTCCGCCGCTGCCATAGCTCTCCCTTCTTCACCGTGCATGTCGCATGTCCGGCGTTAAAGTGGTCGCGATTGTCTGAAAAGAGAAGGATCTTCAATTAGTGGAAAAGCTATGTTAAGAGGGTCCCGCTCGTAGTAACCGTTTAGCGGTACACGCGGCTGTCTAAACGTCGACTTTGATTCGTTTTTCATTTTCCCTTATTAGGTTGACACGCAACAGTTCGTTCGGTTTTTCAATTAAAATGTAATATTGATTTATTTTTAAATACAATCAATTAAATATACATTCGATGATTTTCGAGATTCTGGAATTTCTGAGCAAAAAACCGATAAAAAAGCGGAACGAACTTTAACATTAACTCAATATGTTATCCAAGCTTCATTGAGACAGGAAATTGCGCACTTTACAGGAAAATAAAAACTCCAAGAGCCCGAGGCGACGTGAAGATTTCGATAGACGCGTTTGCAACGGGTAACGCCCGGTGAAAATGCGATTGTACTTTTCCCGGATGAAATAAGGAGCGAAGGGCAATCAGTGTAAATCATCCCCCGTTGTTGAAATCCCTCTTATTTCCATTAGCGCTCTCGGAGAATTATGTTTCGCGAGTTACGCGTGTAAATCAATAACTATCAGCCACTACGATGAGTTACGCCGATTGGTGTGCTTCCCACCCGAGCACGTGTTCTTAAACAACCCCAGCAACGATGTCTATTACACATCGTCTGAATAATGCTACGAAGCATGCATCCCCGATCGTATCACATCGCGGTATGCGTTGCGCAGCCGCTCTCTAATGAATAGCGCGACAGTATCATAAATATGCGCTCGCGTCTCAGACAAACTGTTAACGTTTACTCAATTTCCTTTAAGTGTGATTCGAATTGGCGTGATAAATTCAACCGTCAACTTCGTCTCCAGAGGATAAATCTGTTAACGCGAGATCGCATAAACTGTTCGTAGAACGATAGTTTATATCCCTGGTAGAAATTTGTATTTTACGCATTTTTTTCAGCAGTTATCGGGCAGATTACTAACTTTCGTCTAATAACTGACGAGTAAAACTACTTGGGGTTCCAATTTTGCTGCGGTTACCGTGCACAAAAAATGAGCAAAATTTGAACTCATTTGCTGAACAAAAACAGAGCAATAAATGGACGAATAAACTATTCATTTGATTAATAAGACTCCTGTTCAAATAGACAGTTTTGCCCTAAAAGTATCCTTGAATAAAATTCTATCAAACTTTCGCTCATTTCCTAAGCAGTATTGTTACAATTAATGAGAATGCTTAATATTAGACAGTAACTGGACGAATGTCTAAGTAAACTGTACATATTTCTACCCGAGTATTTCTGGCTGATCAGAAGCACCTCGCGCGTCCAACGAAGGTTAAAGGAGCTCCGTTGCGCCGACTAAACGCTCAATCTCACGTTTTTATCGCGACGATCCGACCCCCTGATTTAATTTGTATCAGCGTACCTCCACGGAGAGGGATCTCACATTCGGTCCCTCGATTTCTCCGGAAGAAAAAGCGCGTAAGCACGAAAAAACATTCACTCGTCCTTTCAGACGGGCCCGGTTGTTGTTGCGTCATCGCCTCGTTCAAAGATTACCTTCGAGGCTCTGCGAGCAGCCTAAGGAAGAATGAGAAGAAACAAAGAGGAGGAAAACGAAGGGATGAAGGCGGAGGAAGAAGGGGCGAAAATCGAAAAAGAGAGGAAGACAATGCAGCTAACAGCAGGTGTCTGCTTGCCTGTTCGTTCCTCCTCCTCCTTCTCTCTTTCGCGTCTCTTCCTCCGTCTCTATCCTCCCCGTCGTCGATCTCATCCGGGAGACCATCCCGACACTCACTCGACTCTCTCTTTGTTCTTTCGCACTCCCCGCGGAGCGGCGAACACGAGTTACCTTATTCGGGCGTGACAAGCGAGGATCAACTTAAACAAATGACATCGACCGAGTCGCGCGCGCGCGGCGACGGCGGCCTGATTGCGGGTGTCTCGTTAAGGTTGTCCCTTCGGATCGTCCCTATTAATTACGATCGGTAGCCGACGACGAGCCATCGTTGACGCGACACCCGATCGTGTGGCTCGTGATTGTCCCGCTTGCTCCCCCTCGCCCTTTCCGACACGATTCTCCTCCGGTCGCCGCGGTACCACGCTGTCTGCCGGCGAGAAAGACGTGGGAGAGACGTCCCGAAGGGGAGACCTCGGGGTGCAGCTCGAGTAACGGCCGATCGTAACGCGACGCGTACAAAGTCGCGCGTTTCCGCGCGATAAGTTCGCAGGACGGACGGGACGAGCGCGATTCGATCGTAAAACGACCGAATCATCGATTTCAGAGAACGGGTCGCGTCGCACAGGTGCAAAATGCGCACGAAACGTTGCGATGATCGCGACGACCTTGTCTTCGTGCGACATCCGACATGGCGAAATTAACACGTCGGCCTCTCGTCGAGGAACTCTCGACTTTTTATCCGAATTTCCAGTCGCAAAATATAATTCCGCCTGATTAACATGCTAAGTAGCCGATGAGTGCCGGAGTTGAGATGCTCAGGCATCGAAATTGTAGTGAGATAAACCATCGGGTTAATATATTGATGTGTTGTAACTCTCGCGATTAATCGCGATCAAGAATTCACCGATACATCGTTTAGCGGGCTTTATGTAGTTAATGGATTCCCCGCGCTTTCGAGAACGCCTCACCTCGGTTTTCTCTAGGATAACGAGCGTGTTCCTGATAGGTTACATCTGCAAATCGCTGATAAGTATTTGCATAGGCGCTGGCGACTTCGTCAGAAATGCGAAGACACGACACGAATTACAAGCCTGCGAACCGGTTTCCAGGCATACCGTTCGAACGGCGGAATTAACCCAAACCTCAAAAGACCGAGGCGCCGTCGACGTTGCACGCTTAATTGCACGGTCGGGACGGTGGACGGATAGTCCGGGCTCGTGCAAATTTTTATCGTACCCCGGACTTTAATCCTCTCTTTATGGCTGTCTATCTAATTGCGCGAGCACGATGCAAAAGCAAAAACACAGCGTGCTATAAACATACTAGCGAGTTTAATCGTGTTGTTCGCGGCCCAACGGCGATTTTGCGAAACCGCGCGAAGAGATCAAGCTCGATCCTCTTGGAACGGAATAAAATCGACGTCTTTACGGGCGACGTAATAAGAAGCGCTTTTTGTACCGCGCAGGTGAAAAGACGCGCGATATCTCTTCCTGCACTCATGCGTGACACGTTTCGACGACTCGGTGATGGTATCCCATCTCAATTAAGGATGACGCGAAATCGAATAATTTACGCTCGCGATAAGAAACAAAGCGGCATCAGCTCCGGTTACAGCGGTCGGTTACCGTCCGGTTGTAACGCTATAACGCCATAAACAATATCCACGCGGCTCTCCATCAGCGTGAACTAGGTATCACCTCTGTCGGACCGCAGATAAGAACTTGGGGCTTTATTCTGGGCGCAAAGCGAACGCTAAGTATGCCCATTTTAAATTCCAACTTCCGTTTTTCTCATACGAGCGTCACGGAGGAAATACTGTAGTAAAAAATTATCACAAAATTCTGTACCGCCAGTACAGAACTGTAAAGCCAGCCGATGGAAAAATAATGAAAAAGAGAGTAATACGGTCGAAGAAAATCCAAGACGAAGGAATGATATCTGTCTTCGACGGAACGAAACGCTGCTAATTTCACTGACAAATATTATAATAGCTCAGAGAGCGAAAAGCGAGCGATGTTAGCTCAGTGCACGCAAGAAGTCTGGAATTTCCTCTCGCGGACCCGGCGAGAATCCTTCGAGCAGGAGCGACGAAATGCCGAATGCAGAGCGTCGCGGACGTCGAGGAGTGTCCAGGGGACAATAAAACGAGGAGGACCTCTCACCACCGCCGTGCGGCGACGTTGATCGTATATATCGTCGCCGGGGAGACCTACGCGTTCCTTCGTCCTTCGTTTTTCCGCCCTCTCTCTGGGGCCTCCGCGCCGTCCCCTCGCCCGGCCGAGGACTCGGGCACAAAAGCGGCGTCCTTTGAGGGAGGGTTCGAAACAAAAAAACGAAGAGTCGGCGAACACGGCGTGCAACCGTGTTAACTGCGCTCCTTATGCATTCATATCCTTGTTTCGCGACAACCTGCTGATTGTTTCCACAAAACGCGACAACCCCCTTGTAACCCCCGTGTATCCCCCCCCGGGCCGGTTTTTCGGTGGCCGCGCAAGGGAGACTTTTAGAGCCACAAGGCGCTGCCGGTGCGAGTCCGCCGCCGGCAAAAAGGATCAATTTGTATGCGGGTGAACGCTCCCCGTTTCTCTCGCCCGTTCTCAACAACGCCGGCCGTCGTAACGTCTCCGCTCACGACAATGGTGACGGCGAGATATAAGGGCGCGCGAGAAACGCGTATGTGCGCCGGAAGACAAGCAATTGAAGAGCCTAGGGCAACAATGTGCCCACGTGAACACGAAAAAGAGCCGCCGCGCCCGAGACGTCCCGAGGTTACATCTGTTCGCGGCTCCAGCCGGCGTGATGGTTTTATTCAAGAACGCTCGGGTTTAGGTAAAGGGTAAGGTGAACGCGAAAACGAACGTCCGGAAGTTGCGATTGTAGAATATGACCTACGAGCTACCATAAGCACGAAAGCTCGCTCCGAGCGGTTTGGTGATCCGGCATGTGTAATAGGGGCGAGAGGGGTGAGACGACGATCTGAAAATTTATCGATTTTTTCTTCATTTTTATAGATGTAATTTTGTGACGTGAAAATAACACGTTTTTTGGAGTAATTAAAGCCTTATCATCTGCATAAACTGAGAAATTGATAGATAAATTTGAATTTTATTTGACTAGAACTTTTTCAGAACGTCTCATCTTGCTCTCATGTATAGGTAATATGACGAAGGTTAAAAATAAAATTTTCACGCACACAAAGAATAATTTTCTCAAACTTTTTATATTATACTGTTATCATAACGTCTGTACGATACAATAAAATAAATGAAATTATTATTTTTGAACAAACCATACCACATTATTTATTATTATTTAAAGCTTCTAATAAGTTCGGTATTAAC